ATGGATGAGACGAAGCCAAAGCTATCCTTCAGCTTTGCCGCTAAAAAACCATCTGTCTTGCCTATTCGCAAGGAGAAAGTAAAGGAATCGAACAAAGAATTCATATTCTCATTTGAAGATAATGTTGTACAGAGGTTTGACAGCTTGATTACTGAAACAAATTAGTTCTCGAGCTAAAGAAGAAATTCTCTCAATCCCTCTTATAAATTCTCGTAAGAGTGCTATACGTAAAAAGCTGGATGGAAAGATAGAACCATCTGATGAGCTAACCAGGGAGGCAATAAGAGCACTTACACAAGGTTTTTAAAAACTTATATTCATACTGCTAGGATCTAATGAAAACCTTGAGGACGACATTTCAAGGTATATATTGAGCAAGTCGGATGAAAAAGATACAGCGGCTGATGTAAGATTCCTTTATGTTACTTTATGGCTTAGCCCGTTGAGGCTGATTATGATGCCATCCCTGTTGAAAAATTTGGGCTTGCACTTCTGTATGGAATGGGTCTTGATCCGGACCAACTTGAAAAGAAGAGGTATCCTCTTGTTAGTGTATTATACGTTGGCTAGTAAGCAAGATAACATTATACGGCCCAAACGACTCGGACTCGGGGCTGATCCTCAAGTTATGAAGTTGCTTGACCAAAAGAAGAACTCTAAAAACAAAGAAAGCAAAGAAGAGCTTAAATATAAGGTTGGCGCCAAGGTGCAAGTAATTTTTGGCAAACAGCAGGGACTTTATGGAATTGTAGGACTTTCTTATGATAAAATGTCTTGTTATTTAGCATATTTATCAGTCCATTTTTATAGATTGAGGGGCTGGATGGCGACACAGGCCGCGTTGCTGTCAGGATGACTTTATCTAAAGAGGTTTCAAGTCTCCTTGAACATGCTTTACGGCTTGTCACTGAGGATGAATATAATCATCTTTCCAAGTACCTAAGTATGCGTCGTTTATCCATTTACATCGCACCCTAAACATTCATTCCTTACATTTAACCTTTCTTACCTTGCTTTTTTTGACTTTAACTACCTTCTTTTGTTCACAAAAGCAGGCTATTTTGAGTTACATTTTCCTTTAATTTGATGATCCTTTGCTGCTTCTATTTTAATTTGACGAAGTCTTCGGTGACCAGTCATATATCTTCATACTTCTAGATTTTTCTAGAATTGGTTCTTAAGTTTCAAAATGCTTTCAAATTAAAGGAGATTCTCTCTTTACTTCGCTGATCTACCTTTTATTTCATTATATATTATTTAGTCCTCTAGATTTCCTATGTATATCGTGAACTGCATTCAGATTAATGCTTTGTCTGGGCCGATACAAAGGCTTCGACATTTTATACATTAACTTGGATTTACGTAATTTATTATAAAAGCCGCTACATATTTACTAATTTTCACCTGGATAAAGTTCATATCTAATAATTATCTTTGATAAGCGTTTTATAGCCCGTGAATTTAAAAGGTCGTTTCAATTAATCAAATTTCAGTTAGATTATTTTACTAGACAAATTAAAACAAAATTAATTTCTTTTTATATAGATCAAATGGAGGCCGAGGAATTTAAGAAAAAAGATCAGGTCAGACTGGAAGAAGAGCGTAGAAAGGATTTAGAAATGCGATTACAGTATGCAGCCGATCAAGAAGCCCAACTTACTGATAATAACGATTTTGTCAAGCCTTATCTGCCCTCAGAGTGCGTTAAACCTCACAATTTTTAAATTTTAGCTTTCGTGCTTGTATATTCTTGAGGTTTTCAGCTCATCTTCACACCGCGATTCGCCTTGGGTTATACCAGGATTAATTGTAAGGATGATGGACAAACGTTATCTTGAAGGGAAATTCTATAAACAAAAGGTTTATACAATCTCTTTTTTTGAATATTTTCAACGAATTTTATTACCTTTTTTTCTTGTTCTATTTTACGTAATTTGCTTACCTCTAATCGTTTTCTTTTTGCTGTCATTAACTCTTTTGTTTTTGATTCTAGTCTAGGCCTCTTGATTTAGCTGCTCTACATTAACGGAACCCCATAACAGAACCACCAGAATATGTCCATTTTTATCACAAGCTATTAGAGTCTTATCATCTTTATATGTAGGACAAATCTAGTTTAATTCCATAGCTTACTCTCCTCGTAATTGCAAAATTTAACTGGATTCCTGATAGCATCCTTCAAATGAATATATTATATGAAACCTAAGTTTTTTAGATTTGTATTGATGAAAAGATAAAATTATTCCACAATCTGGTGCAGATAAATTCAACGTTTGTCATATTTACGATAGCTTTACGATAGCCTTTGTGGCTCATTATACTTTAAGACTTTTCTTCGAAGCTTTACATTTCCAAATTATTTTTTTAACGTGTCGATTATCAATCAACATAGTTTTTATATGATCAGTGTCTAAGTTCATTTGATCAAAGACGCGAATGCTCATTGATTTTTTATTTTAAGAAATTGTTTAGCAAAAAATCAAG